GAATGGGAGATTCACACCATCCGCTGTCACAATAAAGCCCTGATCCATCATTCAGGATCCCAGCCATCCCAGCCGCAAACTGTTCTCCCCCTTTTTGCTCTGGCGAGCGGTACCGCACTGTTAAAGCACAGACCACTAGACTTAATAACACCTTCTACTCTACTGCAGTACAGCTAACTGCAATGCTTCTGACTCAATGCACATCTGCACTATGTACTTTTTGCATGGTCTACCATGTTTTTTTTTTCCCACTACTATGTATTTATTGTTCTGGCTGTATTATTTACTATTTTGAAATGCCTTGCCTACATTGAGTGGTGTTGTCTGTTGTACTGTGTATGTACCGAGTGATCAGTGTGAATAAGAATTCCAGTGCACATGTACATATGACAATAAACTCCTCTACTCAATTGTGCTCATGAATGTCCATTTATAAACTCCATTAATGCTATATTCACTGCTATGCAATGAAATATAAGTGCTGGTTAGATGCTTCCTGTCATGAGTAGAGAGGCATATTGCAGAGCGCAGGTTTTTGTAAAGCCTCTTGGTTCAGTCTTGTCACTGTGACTCCCGCACAGTAATACACAGCTGTGTCTTCAGCCCTCAGGGTGTTCATTTGTAAGATGAAGGAGCCAGAGGAGATGTCATTGGAGGCAGTGAAACGGTCTTGGACTGAAGAAGCATGGTATGTACTGCGAGTTTCGCTAACGTAGCTGGCCAACCACTCCAGCCCCATCCCAGGAGCTTGTCAGATCCAGCCTATCCTATAAGTGCCGAATAGAAACCCTGACACCTGGCAGGACAGTTTCATAGACTCTCCTGGCTTCTTCACCTCTGCAGAGGCAGGCTGAGTGAACGTTATGCTGGACTGGGCTGTAACAGCTGTGGAAACAAACAGACATCAGTTCAGGGTTTACCATTGTGACAAAAGCCAATACACCAAACATCACAGAACAGGAGGGATTTTACCTGAATGTACCAGGAGAAGAAAACACAGGACACTGAGGTGAGTCATGGTGTAAAACTGCACACAGTCTCTCTCCTGAGGAACTGCAGCTTCACTGTTAGATAGTGAGGATGCTGTCAGTTATATACAGGAAACAGATGATGATTTGCATGCAATGCAAACTACTGTGGGGCTGTTATATTCCCTCAGCTGATGTTCACTGCTGCCCATGATACTATTTACTTATTGTCCTCTTATGTTTCATTGATGTTCAGATTCATTCCACTCAGATTGTTTACAATCAACTCAGATTGTATCTCGATGCCGACTTTGACTACCTATTGGACATATACAGGAGGGGTGTGGATAACAGAAAATGGGAATCCAGGGACAAGCCTGCATTTTCTCTGAAATGGATTTGAGAGGTGACTTAATATTGACTTCTTTAATCATTTTATAAGGGATCGTTTGACTTTTAAATGACTATCTAATCTAGGTTAGAGCCATGATGATTATCATGTTTATGGCAACAGAGTTTTAATAGCAAATATAATTTTAGTTTTCAGAGCAACACTTTCCTGCTCTTTAGAATTCTCTAAGACCATCATACTGTGATATAAAAATATAAACATTTATTATTTTACATGTGTGATGTGTAAAATAACTCTCACTCATTTGTAATATGTCTCAGTCTCCCTGCCATGTGTTTGACAATAAATACCCTCTGTATCAAGTGTGTTAATTAACTTGCACTTGGGAATTCTAGAGTTCCACTTCATAGCTGCAGTTGTGGTGTCCTGTGTGACTTTTGCCCCCTATTGGTTTTTGAAGTCTAAGTAAAAACATCCACATTCAAGGACTAAGGAAAAGCAGGTTTCATGGGTGTTTTTTTACTAACAGAGCACAAATCTTAGACTGATACACGTTTATATCTCTTCCTATTCTGTTATATCCTCTCCAGCTTTCAGTTCTGTGAACTATAGAAACAGGAGAGCTCCCAGGTCTAATTGATAGTTTCATGCTTGGTGTCTAATTCCAGATTTAATTGACAGGTCTATCAGGAATCAGATCCACTTAATGTCTTACGTTATGTTTACCAATCATCCAGACTTGATGTCCCAACATCTGATCCTTAAAGACAGTTATCCTGCAATCTCTTTCAAAATCAGTCTTAATATCTTCACATCTTTAAACACGCTGAGAGTATGATGGATCCAGAATAACCTGCTGGACAGTGGTTTTCAACTGATTGGATTTCTGAACACCAATATTTTCTTAGTAGACTAAACTGATATTGGGAGTTTCTCATAGTTTAATGGCTGAGAGGTGTCAGTTCTCCCTGTTCTGAAATTGCGTTTCTGGAAGAGCTGGATTATGGAGGTTCTCACTAGTCTTCAGGATTGACATTCTCAGTGTAACACAGCATTGACATCTTGTACAAACAGCATCATGAGTCATGTGGCTCAGATGTTTCCTGTGGTGTGTAGGGACGCTCAGTGCCGATAGCAGGTTTTTGTATGGCCTCTTGGTTTAGTCTTGTCACTGTGTCTCTCGTACAGTAATACACGGCTGTGTCTTCAGCTCTCAGGTCGTTCATTTGTAAGAAGAAGGTGCTGGAAGAGGTGTCAATGGAGGCAGTGAAACGTCCTTGGACTGAAGGCGCATAATAGTTAGTGAAACTCTCAGTACGATAACTTGCTAACCACTCCAAACCCTTCCCAGGTGCTTGTCGGACCCATATCTTGTGGTGGTCACCTATGCTGAACCCTGAAACCACACAGGACAGCTTGACAGACTGTCCAATTTTCTTTGGTTCCACTGAGGCCGGCTGTGTCAGCGTGATGCTGCACTGTGTTTCAACAGCTGTGAAGAAAGTGAACAAATGACAGGTCAGCGATGTCAGGACCCTGGTTTTCAGTGCTCAAAACACAATGTCATAATAGTAGAATCCCTTTTGTACCTAAAAGCAGTAGCAGGCAAGGATACAGAACACGCAGGTAACTCATGATGTCAATGTGAGCGCAGCTGCTCTCTTAGGTAACTGCAGCTTCACTGTCAGTTATATACAGGCAGCTGTTGCAATCAGTTTGCATGCAAGGCAAAATAAGAGCATCGAGTTTGGTATAACTGATGACCCCAGCTGCTTAGAGGACTCTCTTGGGTGTGCTTCTCTGGAAACAACATAACATGCAGATTATTGCCAGTTTTGAATGTTAATTGGGGTCATTAGAGCAGAGCAATCTAACACTCAAATCTTAGCCATTCTGCTTCAACAATGCATATGCTAAATATAATGTAGAAATGTGTATAGTATTTACAGTATCTTCTCTACTGGATGAAATTTGGGAAACTTTCACAAATAACATCAAGCCATTAACTGCATGTATTTATAATGGTGTGTTTTTAAACTCTGAGGATGGGTTGCTCTGCCTCTATTTATTTAGCAAGAAGTGTAAAATACAGAGTGAGAATGTCACTCCCATCAGCTTACATGTGAGAAGTGGAGTGAATTACTCCACCATGTCTTTTGACTGTTGTTTCAGAACTTTACACAAAGGGATAAATACAAAATTACTTACCTTGAGAGAAACATCACTTTACAGATTGGAATTTACATCCAGACTCATGAGATTAGGCAAGACTGAGCTGTATAGTTAAAATCATTGTGAATCCAGAAACCATATCATCAATACAGGACATTCAATCCTGGAGCCGTGTCTGTGGGTAATCGAAGTCTATATGAAGTAGCAGCACCTGAAGAGCTACAGTAGAAGAAGCTGTTCATTTGGTCCATGTAAACCAATAATAAGCCTATTTAGCCCATTAAGACTTGAGTTTGATTGAAGATCTATAAACAGGCGGTGGGCTTCCAGGACCAGGACTGGACTGCCTTGCTTTAGTCCATTGAAAAGAATTGGGACGCCTTGGCTCACAATCATTAGATATTTTCAAAAACAGCATGCAAAGCATTTGCCACTTCTCAGCCAAGGCGAAATTCACTAACTTTCACTGTGTACAGAAAAGCAACACTGTCTCAGAGCCCTTATCTTTGCTGGCCTCTTAATTCAATCACGGATTATGAAGCTGGGGGCGCAGTGGATAGCATTGCTACTTTGTAGATCTGGGGCCCTCCAGAGGCCATTCCAGTAGACACCAGGAAAGAGAAATAAACTAAATTTGTTTTGTTTTTTTCAAAAAACGTTTATTTGAATCTAGCTTTCATATGTCAATTCTAATTTTATAATGGCTCTTGAACTGTGTACAACCATGTTATTACAAAATATAGAATATGGACCATACTGGTTAAATGGAATCCAAATGGAATAGTTTCCTGTATACCTTAGAAGTGTATAATTCACTGTCTTCTGTACACAGTTAAGATAAGATCGCTTTATTAGTCATACACAATTTCTTGCATTAGGAACTTGTCTTTTTCACAGACCCCAGCTTGATCTCCATGAGACACACAGAGAGGGAGAGAAGCTTGGGGTCAGGGCACAGGATCAGCCATTTATACAGCACCCCTGGAGCAGTTGGGGTAAAGGGCCTTTGTTAGGGGCCCAACAGAGTAGGATTCCTCTGCTGGCCACCTGATTCAAACCAACAACTTTCCAGCCACAGACGTGGCTCCTTAGCCACAGTGCCACCACTCCACCATTAAAGAAATGTATGTTGTCTTATGTAATATGTTATTATTTGCGGGGATCAGGGTCTCTTCTAGCACTACATTTCAGGACCACGTTAATCAATAAAAGCTCTTGACACTTGGAGTAGCTGTCCAGCGTTGGATTTCTGGAGTACCTGTTAAGTGAAGGGGATCCCTCTATTAGAACTTTAAATTATGGGGTCTGCTGCCTCCTAGTGGTTCTCTGCTCAAAAATAGTTCTTGCAGCACTGAAAAATCTTTTGCACATGCATTTTCAGAATTACTGTAGTCTGTACTTCTGTTTTTATTATGGTTATTATTATAATGTGTGTGAATAATTCAATGCTAAAGTGTTAAACAGTGAGATATAAGAAGTTTAGAAAAATAATGATTCTTTCCATCTCTTTAGACATGTTTAACCCAAAGGTTATCTGCTTGCTCTGTATTAATAGCACCATCTTTGACATGTGGCTCAGATGTTTCCTGTTGTGTGGAGAGGGGCTTAGTGCTGAGGACAGGTTTTTGTACGGCCTCTCGGTTCAGTCTTGTCACTGTGTCTCTCGCACAGTAATACACGGCTGTGTCTTCAGCTTTCAGGTTGTTCATTTGTAAGAAGAAGGTGCTGGAGGAGGTGTCCATGGAGGCAGTGAAACGTCCTTGGACTGAAGAGGCATAGTATTTGGTGTTGCTTTCATCATGGTAGTGTGCCAGCCACTCCAGCCCCTTCCCAGGAGTCTGTCGGATCCATCCTTTCCAGTAGCTGTCTATGTGGAATCCTGACACCTGGCAGGACAGTTTCAGAGACTCTCCTGGCTTCTTCACCTCTGCGGAGGCAGGCTGGGTCAGTGTGATGCTGGACTGGGCTGTAACAGCTGTGGAAACAAACAGACATCAGCTCAGGGCTCACCATTGTGAACCAAGCTCATACAGCAAGCGACACAAAACAGGAGCAATTTTACCTGAAAGTCCCAGCAGAACAAAACACAGGACACTGAGGTGATTCATGGTGTAAAAATGGACACAGTCTCTCTCCTGAGGAGCTGCAGCTTCTCTGTTAGAGAGTGGAGATGCAGCCAGTTATATACAGGAAACAGATGGTGATTTGCATGCAATGCAAACTATCATAGAGCTCTTATATTCCTTCAGATGATGGTCACTGCTGCTCCTGATGGTATTAACTTCTTGTCCCCTTTTATCCATTGTAAAATAGAAAGACTGGTTATGTTCAGATTCATTCCACTCAGATTGAAAATGATAAACTCAGATAGAATTTCAATGCTGACTTTGGCTTCCCATTGGACATACAGTATACATGAAGGGTGCAGATTTCAGAAAATTAAAATTCAGGGACAAGTTTGGAATTTGTGGCAGGGAAATGGATTTAAGTGTTGATTTAACATTGACTCCTTCATTCTTTTTATAAGGGATCATCTGGCTTTTACATTAAAATTTCATCTATGGTGAAGCCAGTGAAGGATTATATTTCAATCTGTACCTTAATGTCTTTTTATTTACAATTTTAATTTTAGTGCTTGAAAATGGGTGGCAAATGCATTTATGCAGATTTGTCTCAGCTGCATTATTAGCATGCATGTCACTATCATTACCCTGTGAATCATGTGTGTTAATGTTGAAGAAATATATAAGATGTGAAGAAGGGGTTAACTGATTTCTTGTGACACAAGACATTCCAGGCTTTGAGTTATCGCTGGGATGGGGGTTAACTGATAAGAATTCCAGATGCAAGCTGGAATTAGTTTCCCCCAACCAAGGAAACCTAAGACCAACCATTAAAAGTGGTTAAAGTCTGGGAAATCTCCAAACACCAGTTGCCTTCCCTCTATTACCATGGTAACAATTTGCCTCAGAAACACGACTGGAGTTTGCTATAAAAACTGGAAGTTTTGTACCTATATTCTGAACAATACTTTGATCTAATTGTTCCTTGCATGCAATAAACTCAGTTATTTTACACTTCATCTCTGTTACAACAATGTACACATAACACTTGGGATTTCTGTACTGCCTTATATCGCAGCAGATGGCCTAGCGTCACATCCAGGGTGTATCCCTCCTTGAACTAGTTGTTTGCCAGGAGAGGGTCTGACTACCTCTCGATCCTGTGGTGGAAAGTGGTGGAAAGTGGATGGAGTTGTACTGTCTGATGTGATTGCAGCCCCCCTGTGGTTTTCAAATTCATAGTGATAATGACCTCACTCCGTTCTGTAAGAGGAGCAACTTTTATGTGTATGTGTTTTTTTAAGATGAATATTCATATTTTCATAACAATATTGTAGCGCTTCAGGGTTCACGTGGGCACCCTCGCCTCTGCCGCATCAGATCGGCCCCCCACCGTCGGGGACTCAAACCCAGGCCTCCGGCATCGCTCAACAGGAACCCAGCCTCTTGAGCTAAAGGGAAATCTCCCATCAGCCTGGGGCTGCGGCCCCTGCTATTCACAGGGAAGTGTGGTGACGTCACCGCTCTGGTAAGCCGGCTCTAACAACCCACAGTGGTGGCTGTATGCGTTACAATATGAATCTTAAATTGACACACATTTGCATTACTCCTTCTTTAATCATAAAATACATCACAAAACTGTGGAATAGAATGGATGTTTCAAGGTTTACATGAAATGTCATGTAGACCAGATATATGTATGTATTTCATTCAATGACCCTACTCCATAATAGTGTAGCACTATACATACTACTATATTCTATACTACAGAACATAGTATTATATACTACGTAACTATCCTACTATAACTATGGTATAGCAGCTTACTATCCGGTTATGAAAGTTAACACACAGTGTACCCTTTTAGTTGTTTGGTGGAAATGTATGGGAAATTTATTTGTCTCTGGGCAACCACAGTGAACGAGTGCCAGACATTCCAATATAGATGTGCTATCAGAAGATTACTTTGATCCAGGGACTTTCTCATATTTGTACTGGCTTAGAGGTATCAGCTCTCCCAGTTCTTAAGTTGCACCTCGGGCAATGCTGGACTTTGGAGGCTCTGACAAATATTCTGGGCTGAAAACATCAGTGTATTGTAGTACCGACATCATGCATAAACAATATCAACATTGTGCAGCTCAGATGTTTCCTGCTCTGTGCTGAGGGAAGGTCTTTGTCAGGCTACTTGGTACAGTTGTCTTAGTGTGTGTCTCGCACAGTAATACACAGCTGTGTCTTCAGCTCTCAGGTCGTTCATTTGTAAGAAGAAGGTGCTGGAGGAGGTGTCAATGGAGGCAAAAAAGCGCCCTTAATAGTTAGTTAAACTCTCAGTACGGTAACTGGCCAACCACTCCAAACCCTTCCCAGGGGCTTGGCAGAGCCACTCTTTGTGGTGGTCACCTATACCAAACCCAGAAACCACACAGGACAGCTTAACAGATTCTCCAATTTTCTTTGGTTCCACTGAGGCCGGCTGTGTCAGCGTGATGTTGCACTGTGTTTCAACAGCAGTGAAGACAGTTGGCAAATAACTGGTAAATAACATCAAGATTCTGATTTTTACTGCTTAAAATGCAGTGTCATAGTCTCAATAGCAAAATCCTCTTTGTACCTGAAAGTAGAAGCAGGCAAGGATACAGAACACACAGGAAACTCACGGTGTTAATCCAAGCACGGCCGCTGTTTTAGGAAACTGCCGTTTCACTTTCAGTTATATTCAGGCAGCTGTTGCAAAAAGTTTGCATACAAGGCATATAAGAGCACTGAGTATGGTATAACTTAAGACCCCAGCTGCTCAGAGGACTCTCTAGGGTGTCTTTCTTTGGAGGCAACATAACATATAGATGATTTTTGGTTTTCAATCTTAAATGACCTACAGCGCCAAGCAATCAAATCTTTAGTATTCTGCAAAAGTACATAGATTCAAAACAGTTAATGAGGAATTACTAACTCAATTTCTCTATTTGCTAAAATTGAATAAAAAATCATTCATTGATACCTGTACCTATACTGGACAGTATATGGTGGGAATATCATCATGATAGCATTTTGCTACCTCCAGCAGAAATGCTAAGTGGTAGTTCCCTTGGTTCCATTCCATTCCAGACCTGGGGTGCTATCTGTGTGGACTTTGTATTTTCTTCTCATGTTCACATGAGTTTCCTCCAGGTTTCTCACTTTCTCATAATTGGCTTTGGTGTGAGTGTGTGGTTGTTAGAGTTTGAGTTTGTTCGTCCTGCAATGGACTGGTGTTCCGTCCAGCATGTACCCAGCCTTATACCCATTGTGTGCTAGGATTGGGTCTTGAATTGGAGTAAGCGGTAAAGTGATTAGAAAATGAATGGATGGATATTCTGAAATTTGGTTAGAAATCCATCATATCATAAACTGCATGTTTTTTTTTCACAAAGGTGTCTTGGTGAGGTGTTTTTAAAACTCTGAAGATGGCTGTTAGTTGCTCTGTTCAAGAATTGTAAGACACAAAGCACCTGTAAGAATGGCACGCCAATTGGGTAATGTATCAGAAGTGCAGTTAATTACTTTACCATGCCTTAACCCTTTTTATAACTTTACATAAAAGAAATGAAAACAGTTAGCTAACATGAGGGTGACAGCAGATACCAATCTTTACAGCAGATACCAGTCCTTCCAGACTGGAGTTTACATTCAATTTCCAGAGCATAGGCACTAATGAGCTGAGTATCTGAAATGACAATGGAGAAGATCCAGAGACTATATCTATAATACAGGTTGTCTAATCCCAGTCCTGCAGGAGGTGCTGTGCCTGGAGATTTTCCTGGCTTCTTTAAAGCAGTAGCGCATGAAGAACTGGAAGTACCTATTAATGGATTAATCATGTCGGTAATAAGCCAATTGAGCTTATTAAGAGTTGGAATGAAGACCTGTAAGCACACACTGGCCTCCCAGGACCTTGACTGGACTGCCTTGCTTCAGTCCAGTGAGAAGGGTTGGGACACCATAGCTCGTAATTATTAAATATCTTTTTAGGGAAAATTCAAGACATTTGTAACATCTACACCACCAAGAGATGATATCACAGATAATTTCATTATATAATGAAGAGCAAAATTGTCCTGGAGGTTTCCTGGAGCTGCCATTTTCACTTGCTGTTGGCATGAGGTGTGAGGGAGAAACTGCCATTAAATCAAAATAGGACTACAAGCTGATAAACTGCGCTCATGTACAGTGTCCTGGGATCTGCATTAACCAATAGTCAGAACCTGGGTTAGAGTAACGCTTAAGTCTTTGAGCAAAATACAACTTTCAAGGTCAATATTTCTCCCCACTCAAAGGGAAATAATTCTAAGTGTGGAGACCTGGCCAACGGAGAGCTATGTAACACCTTCATTCAAAACACACACACACCCACAGTTAATATACCACTATGTACTAACTCTTAAGTTAGATGATATTTTTTACATGCAAGATGTAGAAACCACACACTTTCATTCAAACACACAAAACCACAAAACCACATGCCAATGTCTACCACTGACTCCCTGCCAGTAATTCCCTGAGAGGCTGGGCTTACTTTCTCAGTAGATCAAAAACCTGAAATGTCATCTAAAACAGGTGTCTGTTACTTCATATGCACTCAGGCCAGAGTCAGGAAGTAACCCAGGTCAGATTCTACACTGTGACTGTGGATTGATTTAGTGTTGACATTCATAACATCACGACAATGTAGTGTACATTGAGGAACTAAGATGACTGTTTATTGGTCGTAAATGGATAAGGAAATTAATTTCATATAGGTTTCAGGACTTGAGGTACTGGCTTGACATGAGGTCAAATCACTTACAGGTTCACCCTATGGAAACTCTCAGTTCAGCTGTTTCATTTATATTTTAAAAAGTGAAAGTACTGTCAGGCTTCCTGTTTGTGAATGAAACCTGTTACACTTGAGGGTTTTTGTCAGGGCTCAGGCTTCATTTCTCTCACTGTGAGTCTTTAGCGCAGTAATACACAGCAGTGTCTTCAGTCTTCAGGCTGTTCATCTGTAAGTACAGCTGATTCTTGGAATTGTCTCTGGAGATGGTGAATCTTCCCTGGACAGACTGGGAGTAG